AACTCCTTGTGACCCCATAGACTGTAGCCCGCCGGGCTCCTCTGTTCACGGGATTCTCCAAACAAGAATACTAGAGTGGGTTGCATTCCTTTCTCCAGGGGATCTTCCCAACCCAGGGATCGAACCCACATCTCTTGTGTCTCTTGCATTGCAGGTGGATTATTTACCCACTCTGCCACCTGGGAAACCTCAAACAACAACAAATGTATTTATTTATTTGACTGCCCCAGGTCTTAGTTGCAGCTTGCAAACTTTCAGTTGGGGCATATGGGATCTAGCTCCCTGACCAGGGATCAAACCTGGACCCCTGCATTGGGAGCATGGAGGCTTGGCCACTGGACCACAAGGGAAGTCCTTAGGCTATTTTTTCTTTTTTTTTTTTTTTGAAGGTAGAGACAACAGGATTTGCAAACAAATTGGCTGTGAAATATAAGAAAGGAATCAAAGATGACTCCTAGTTTTTGGTCTGACCAACTGAGTTCCCTCTATCAAGATGGCAAACACCTCGTCAGAGCAGATTCGGAGGAGGAATCATAGGAGTTCAGTATTGAGACTTGAGGAATGGTCTTGAGAGTATTGAGAGTTGTCTGAGGGACCTATTAGACACCCAAGTGGTGGTGTTAAGAGACTTAATTTAGGGGTCAGCATATAAATATTGAGTTGGCTGTAATATTTCATTCGGATTTTTTTGTCCTTTTTTTTTCATTCAGTTCATTTGGATTTTTAGTAAGATGTTATGGAAAAATCTGAACCACCTTTTTGGCCTATCCAATAGCATTTACAGCCATGGGATTGAATGAGATCATGGAGGGAGTGATTATAGAAAAGGTCCAGTGGGAAAGATGAAGAGATGAGGAAAGATCCAGTAAATGTGTCTTCATACTTGAGTTTCCCAGACTGGAAAGCTGGGAGACATCCTAGATGTCCCTTTCCCCATGAGCATGATCTAATCCAGCCCATTCCCTCATCCTGCCACTTCTACCCCCTAGAATACACCCGGACCTTTCCACCTCCACCTCCATCATCAGGTCCAGGCCTGTATCATCTCTCACCTTGGCAACCGCTCCATTTCCCAGCTGACCTCCTCGAGTCTGTTTGTTCTGCCCCCTCTAATCTGCCCTCCACGACAGTCAATGGTCTTTTAAAAACACAAATCATATCATGTTCATCTCTTGCTTAAAGTCCTTTAGTAAATTCCCAATTCATTTAGCATTAATCCACAACTCTTAACATAGTTTACAAGTCCTTGGGAGATCTTTCACTTGCTAAACCTCACTTCCTGCGACTCTCCCTTAATACTTTACACTTCAGATTTCACCTCCAGTGGCCATGTCTCCATTCCTCAAGACCACATAAAACACTTAAACACAAAGCTCGGGGACTTCTCCAATGTGGTCCAGTGGCTAAGACTCCTTATTCCCAATGCAGGGGGACTGGGTTCAATCCCTGGTCAAGGAACTAGATCCCACATGTTGCAACTGAGTTCTCATGCCTCAACTCAAGATCCCGCATGCCACAACTGACCCAGCACAGCCAAATAAATAAGTCAACTTTAAAAAAAAAAGCTTGGCATATAATAGGCATTCAATAAATGTAGGCTATCATGATTATGCTACCTCTGCGCTCCACAGATGCTGTTCCCTGTTTGAGATGCTCTTCCCTTTACCCTTCTAACTCCTCCTCCTCCTCCAAGTTTGTGTCAGTGTTCTATTGCTGCATCAATTTATTATCTCACAGTTTCCAAGGATGGGAAGTCTGGCATATTCTACTTGGGTCCCACTCAGGGTCTCCCAAGCCTGAAATCAAGGTGGGCCTGCATCCTTCTCTGAAGACTCGTCTAGCAAAAGATCTGCTTCCAAGATCCCATCGGTTCTTGGCAGAATTTGCTTCTTTGCAGCTATAGGACTGGAGTCCCCGTTTTCTTGCTGTCAATCAGGAACCATCCTCAGCAACTAGAAGCCTCACTCAGGTCCTGCTGTAGCTTCCTCCACAGGCTCTATCACAGCTGGGCAGTTTTTCCCTTCTGGTGTGCATGCCTGCTCAGTCACTCAGTCGTGTCTGACTCTTTGTGACCCCATGGACTCCTCTGTCCATGGAATTTTTCAGGCAAGCATACTGGAGTGGGTTGCCACTTCCTATTCCAGATCTTCCCCACCCAGGGATTGAACCTGTGTCTCTTGCATCACCTGCATTGGCAGTAGGATTCTTTACCTCTGAGCCACCTGGGAAGACTTTCCTGCTTCTAGGCCAGCAGCCAAATATCTCTCGGGCTTCAGATCTCTTCCTACTGCAAGAGCCCTTTGAACCTGCCTCGCCCAGAATAATCTGATTTTTTAACTCAAAGTCAACTGATTGGAGATCTCTGTAAAATTACATCTGTAAATTCCTTCACCTTTGCCATATAACCTAATCACAGGAGTGAAACCTGTCATATTCACAATCCCACCCACACCCAAGGAGGGGGGATAAGGTAGGAGAGTGTGTCTTCCAGGGGCTGGGAATCTTGGGGACCATCTTGGAATCCTTCTTGCCACAGGAACTCAGCCTAAAATCATTTCCACAAGGAGACCTTCCCTGACTCCTAATTTAAACTAGGTCCCACTTTATATTCTTACACGTTACTCTTCAGATTTCTTTCATGGCTCTTACAGGTTGTCATTTTTAACTTATTTGGCTGCATTGGGTCTTAGTTGTGGCGGGCAGGAACTTAGCTGCATCATATGGGATCTTCCATTGCAGTGCACAGACTCTTCGGGCTTAGTTGGTCCTTGGCATGTGGGATCTTAAGTTCCCCAGCCAGGGATCAAAGCTGCATCCTTGCCATTGCAAGGCAGATTCTTAAACACTGGACCACCAGGGAAGTCCTTATTATTTGTTTGTTGAAGGCACCTATTTATTTGTTTGATTGTCTCCTCTTCACCCTGTGAGCTCCATGAGAATAGAAAGCAGGAATATTGTTTTGTTCATCACTGTGTCCATGTACCCAGCACAGTGGTTGGTAATATTAGATCACTGAATGAATGAATGATGAGCAAATGAGCAAATGTGGGCAGGGATTAACCTCCTCATACATTAGACAGAGAGGAGAAGGGATGAAGCATTGATTGAGCCAGGTCCTCTGCTAAATGCTCTATAATTTCTGTTTTCATTTAACCCTCACAGTCATCCCAGGACTGTTACTATGAGTAGCCTCATCTTATAGAAAGGGAAAGCAAGGTTGAGAAAGGTTAACTTTCTTGCCCAAAGATACACAGCAGGGAACTGAAAGATCTAGGATTCAAACCCAGGACTGTTTTCAGTGTAAATACTGTGAAACTTCTTTGGATTCAAAAGACTTGGTTGGATCTGGATCTGCTGTCACTCACTGGCCATGTGAACTGGCACAAGTCACTTCCATTCTGAGTCTGCTTCTTTGTGAAACGGAGGTGGTGATACCTACTGAAGGTGGTTGGCAGAAGTAAATTAATGTGCATGACGTTCCCTAAACATAGCAGAGTGGTCAGTAAATGTAACCTGTGATTCCCACAGACCAAAGAACGCCCCCACCCAGCTGAAATGAAAGCTCACTTGGTTGGATTAGGAAAGCCTTGGAGGTACAAGGGAAAGGGGCCCCGAGAGAGGAACCTGTGAATGTGAGGTTCTCATTCTCAGTCCTGCTGGCTGTGCTTCTGCCAGTGACAATCTGGATTTGCAGAGGCTTATCAGAAATTGGGTATGAAGGAACCATTGCCGAACAGAGCAGTCCATCAGCTGGTTTTCCTCTCTGCTGGCCAGGCATTCCTAGGGCAGGTGGAGGAAAGGCCTCCACAAGCTTTGCGAGTCCCTGGCAGAGGAGACATGAGCTCTGAGTCCTGGACGGCAGAGGTCTGGGCTTCTGCCCTCTGCCTCCCGTTTTTGCCCTCTGCCTATGCTTTCCCAAGATGCTGGTCATCACAGAAGAGACTCATGGGGAAAGGGGCAGGGTCAGAAGAGGGAGTGCTGGAGAGCCAGGCCACCATTAGGATTCAGGGATGTAAGTCTTCCTCTCCCATCAGAGTGTCAGAGCTTCCACCATGGATCTACTCCTTGGGTCTCCTTATCACACTCCCCAACTCCCCTTGGGAAAAGGGCTTCTACTACCTGTCTTTGGCCCACAGAATCAGTGTGAGTGAAACATTCATCAGACCTTCCTCCTCTGTGACCTAGAAGAGCCCAGAGCCCTGGGTTGAGGTTAAGTCAAAGAAACGCAATTGAATTGGAGGAGGGTTGTGCTGTAACCATCGAGTGCGTACTCAGGCGCTCAGTCGTGTCCAGCTCTTTGCAACCCCATGGACTGTAGCCTACCAGGCTCCTCTGTCCATGGGATTTTCCAGGCAAGATACTAGAGTGGATTGCCATTTCCTCCTCCAGGGGATCTTCCTGACCCAGGGATCGAACCCACATGTCCTGCATCTCCTGCATTAGTAGATGGGTTCTTTACCACTGAGTCACCTGGTAAGCCCTCTAACCATCAGTCCTGCCAACTGATGGTTGCCCTTGAACTTGAGGGATGGCAGAGCTGAAGAGGGTTCAGGATTCTCCACAATCCCCTAATTTTACCCAAGAGAAAACCAAGAGCCTAGAGAAGGGGAGGGCTTGCGTGAAGTCACACAGCTGGTTAAGAAGCAGACTAGAACCCAAATCTCTGTCTCTCTTTACTGACTTTGCTGCTCTGTTGAGATATAGAAGAGGCTAAAGTTCCATGGGGGCAAGGAACTAAAGTCATTCCCTCTGAGCCTCTGGTTCTTCATCTGTTGAACAGGAATAATGATACTTCCTGCCAACACACCCGCTTGCTTCTGAAGTTTCAGTGAGTAAATACAGGGGACCTGACTTCAGGGGCAGAATCATCTACTGCCACAGCAGGACCCCAGATTGAAGGAGATCATTGAAAGGATCTGAAGGTGGACAGGGTGGATGGGCCCAGAAAATGTGGGTTCACCTTGTTATCTTCCCCAGGTGGGGCCCAGGCCTGGGTTGCCATGGATACCGTGTCCCTGGAGCATCAGATCCAGAGCGTGCAGCGCCACATCAGCTTCCTGAAAAAAGAGCAGATGGCCCTGCTGCGAGACCTGCACCTAGAGATCCTGAGGCTGCAGAAACGCTGCTCGGGTGAGGCCTGGAGGGGTGAGGTGGGGGCTGTCAGCAGCCGCAGCACCATCTCTGATGGGGTGTCCGCCCTCAGCCTCCCTAAGCCAGGCACGTGTTCATCACCCCTTTCTCTTGGTGAAGAAACTGAGTCTTGGGGAAGTGAGACACATGGAATGTGCAAGCACCTCCCAGCCCTAAGAAGCCCTCAGTCTTGGACTTCCCTGGTGGTTCAGTGGTTAAGACTTCATGCTTCCACCACAAGGGCCACAGGTTCGATCCCTAGTTGGGGAACTAAGATCCCGCGTGTTGTGTGTCATGATCAAGAAATAAATTTATTAAAAGAGATACACAAAAAATAAAGAGGGCTGACAGTTCATAGGCAGGTTCATGCTCAGCTTGAGGCATAAGTGATGAGGAGGCCAAGTATCCCACACTGTCCTGAGGATTAAGCACTTCCTTTCCCTGAGAGCTGAGTAAGATTTAGACATGCTGAGATATTATGGGGCAATGAGAATGGAGAAAGCTTTGCAAAGGAATGGCATGGCAACATCCAGAAGGTAGGAAATCAAAAGCTCATGAAAAGTTCTATTTGACTGGATTACCCTCTACTTAAAGCTGGTGGGACATATGGCTAGAGCCAGAACATGGAAGACCTTGACCAATATCAGGATGGCTAAGAAGTTTGGCCTGTCCTCCTGGGTAGTAGGGAGCCCCTGAAGGTTCTTGAGCAACCTCATGCTACATTAAGAAACTCAATCCAGCAATTCTATGGCAGATGAATTGGTGGGAGAGGGAGGCAGGGGGACTAGTGACAGGTCCAGGGGAGAGATGAAGGGGGATGGAAAGGGGAGAACCAGTGGGATGCAGAGGGACCTGGCAATCAATCGGATTTGTAAGCAGGACAGAGGGAGGCGACAGGGATGATGTAAACCTCGTGCCTGACCTCTACTCTTGGACCTCAAGTCTCAGCTATGTGGCCTTCTCAGAAGCTTGGCTCTGGCCCAAATGCTCACCCTGCATCTTCAAGTGCAGGCTTTAGAGCCAGTGATTCAGTGTCTCAGCTGGAACATCCCAGTCTCATCATTGTACAAATATGTAAACTGAGGTCCAGAGACAGAGAGTGAGCATCACAATGTATCAGAGTCAGGATTAGAACCTAGGACTCCACACACCCAGTCGTGAAGCATCTGTGGCTTTTTTTTTCTGGACACACCACGCAGCTTATGGGATCTTAGTTCTCTGACCAGGGATCAAACCCTCGCCCCCTGCAGTGGAAGCACCGAGTCTCAACCACTGGACCACCAGGGAAGTCCCCTCTGCTCCTTTCCACCCATCCTCCCCCCAGCATACTCAGATTTCCACCTCCCTTCCCTGCCCTACTCATGGGAGTCTCCTCCTTCCCCAGAAAGAAACTGAGGCTCAAAGGGTTTGAGTGCCCCACCTGGCTTCTCACTCTATGGCACGAGAAGCCGCCAGTCCTGACTCTCAGCCGCCACAGTCCCCTCAAGCTCCATATACTGCTGTTCAGCTGCAACCTGCCAAGGCCAGACTTCTTGTCATCTCCCCCAAAGCCTGGCAGGCAGCAGAGGGCATGGATGCCCTACACCTTCTCATTCCTGCCTGATCCCACTTTTTTAGTGTAGTAATGACATTAAAGGGATATTGACACGAGTGAACCCTAAGACCCTAGAGCTCTTTCTCTAATTTCTTTTTGCTTCATAATTATTCTGAAGACCTGGGTCCTTCCACGCAGGACGCAGGCCAGGATCCCAAGAAAATGGGTTGCTGTCGTTCAGTCACCAAGTCATGTCCGACTCTTCACGACCCCATGGACAGCAGCATGCCAGGCTTCCCTCATCATCTCCCAGAGTTTGCCCAAGTTCATGTCCATTGCATCAGTGATGCCATTCAACCATCTCATCCTCTGTAAGAAAGTGTAACAGGCAGGAACAGAGGGCCCTCAGCCCCCACCCTCCTTCTCAGACAAGTATGGGCCTGCAGCCTCTTGGTTATTGATTAACGAGATAAAAATAACTCTGGGCTGGCCTGGAGCAGCCACTCGTGGGGCTGAAATGACTGAATAAGGCCCTCCCTCCAAGGGGTGGAGGAGAGAGGAGGAGAGGGGAGAGGACAAAGGAGGTGTTTTTAAAAAGAGATTAAAGAGGGATCCAGAGAGTGGAAAAAGGATAAGAGTGAGAAGGGGCTGGTATAGGAACCAGGAGGGCAAGGCTTAGGGAAGAACCTGCCCAAGAAGGGGTGATAATTCAAAATAAAGGGGCTTGAGAGGTAGGTGGGTGTGTTCTGGTTGGGAAGGTAGTTTGGATGATAATAAGAGCTGACTCAGCTAGACTGAGCCCTTTATTTCTTTTCTCTTATCAAAGAATCTGCCTGCAATGCCAGAGACCCAGATTTGATCCCTGGGTCAGGAAGATGCCCTGGAGAAGGAAATGGCAACCCACTCCAGTATTCTTGCCTGGAGAATCCCATGGACAGAGGAGCCTGGCAGCCTACAGTCCATGGGGTCGCAAAGAGTCAGGCACGACTGAGTGATGAACACTTTCACTTTCATAGGTGAGAAGACTGAGGCACAGAGAGCTGTTGTCACTGGCCTGAGGTCACACAGCGTGTCTGACCTCACAGTGTGCGTGCCTGCTAAGTCACTTCAGCCGTGTCTGACTCTCTGTGGCCTTATGGACTGTAGCCCACCGGGCTTCTCTGTCCATGGGACTCTCCAGGCAAGAATACTAGAGTAGGTTGCTGTGCCCTCCTCCAGGTGATCTTCCAGACCCAGGGATCGAACCCGCATCTCTTGCATCACCTGCATCGGCAGGTGGGTTCTTTACCACTAGCCGCCTGGAAAGCCGGTACCCTCATGCACACTCATCTAAACCACCAGGTCTCTGGCTGGAAGAGGAGCAGGGAGATTTGATGGATGAGGGAGTGGAGCCCAGCTGGGATTCTGTCTCCCCTCCCCCAACTCTGGTGGTTAAAGGCTACGGAGAAACAAGCCCACAGGCAGTTAGTGACAGAGCCAGAGTCCCTTAGGCAACTCCCCAAACTTAGTCCAGGGCCCCTCCCTCCCTCTCTGCACCCCCCCCCCACCCCTGGGTTTACATCCCAGGGCCTTGGAGGAGGGGCCAGGTTGGCCTCAGGAAGCCCTGGGGGAGGTTCAGGCTCTGGTCACAGCAAAAGGCCCAGGCACTCCAGGCTCTGTCTCCTGGAAACAGCTGGCCTCCCCAGGGAAGGCACCTCCGATAATGCCCCTGGTATCTAGAAGAGCCTGGTGAGGACAGCGAGGAGGGGCGGGCAGAGGGCCCACAAGGTGAGTCTCTCTCTGTTGGTACTGCTGGACAGTGGACCCGGGGATCCGCTTCCTTCCCCCACCCCCACCTTCACACCTTCTCCCTTTAGGCACAGACAGCGTCCCTGCAGGTACACGCAGGTGCGCCTGAGAGGTGCCCTCCATCACAGGCAGCTGCCCCTCCTGGGCTCCCTCCTACCCCTCTCCCAGCCCTTGAGCCCTGATGGAGTTGGGATGGAGTGGAGTGGGGAGTGGGCTGGAAAAACAATCAAACTAGGCAGGCTGAGGGGCGGGGCATGCTGGGCTTGAAGGGGTGGAGACTGGGGACAGGCAGGGGAGGAGACTGCTCCTGCACTAGTGCCCTTGGGGGGCCCCTTGGCTGCCCCCAGCACCAGGCTGAGCGCCACGCAGGCTTTGCTTCACTAGGTGGCTCTGTCCTCCTTGAAGCTCCTCTCCCTCCCCCATGGAATGTGGCAAAACCAGGACTTAGCAAGGGCACAGCAGTACTGGCTGTGAAACCAGTGAAACACGTGTGTCCTATTGGTAAATACCCTGAATCCCCTCTTAGTGTCCCCAGGCAGCCCACCCAGGACACGCCAACCTTCCCAGACTAACCAAACCATCACCACAGTGGGAGGTGAGAAATGTCTGTTTGTTTTGTTTGAACTGGTGGGTCTGACTCTTTGCAACCCCGTGGACTGTAGCCCACCAGGCTCCTCTGTCCATGGGATTTCCCAGGCAAGAATACTGGAGTAGGTTGCCATTTCCTTCTCCAGGGGATCGTCTTGATTCAGGGATCGAACTAAAGGCTCCTGCATTGCAGAAGGATTCTTTACCGACTATGCCAAGTCAGACCCTACCCGGACCTACCAATAGATACTGAAAGGTCTGTGCCCTGGACAACAGGTGTCCCACAGACTGGCTCTGATTGGTTGGCATGTTAAATATTTGTACATCACCTCTGGAAAGGGTCAAATACTTCCCCCACCACCAGCCCCAAAAGCAAGCCTCCATCCCACAAGGGTTGAACTAATCCCCAAATTCAGGACACAGAGTTGGAAAGATCTATTGGAAAGATATCTGGACTTTGAATCAGGCAGATCAGGTTCAGGTTGTGCCTCTGACACCTCTCTTTCATCTCTTTCCCTCTGGGCTGCATTAAAATAGGTATGGGGGTGGTTTCGATGGTTTCTGAGCATCCTTATTGCCACTTTTACTGGGTTGTGATTCTTAATCTCACACACATACTCTCTCTCTGTTTCTAACACACACACAACGGCCTTTTCCTATCTCTGCCCCCAGAACTGACCCATGACCTGGAGATGAGAGAGGCCCAGTCGCACCAGCAAGGTAAGAGAACAACTGGTCACCTTCCCCCCACCCCCCCCACTTAGGACCCATGCCTTCTCCATGCCCAGCCGAGACTTGGGGATAGCCTCATGTGCCCACTCAGCTGGGTGGCCTTGTGCAGTGAACAGCCAGCACCACTGTACATACACACATGCCTGGTATCCCTGTCTCCATCCAAATTGGGAAAATGAAAGCAGGAAGGAGATGGTTTCCATGAAGTCCATGTGCCTGACTTCATTCCTTTGTGACCCACCTCCCCAGTCTTCCCATCCTTGTGCAAGTGATTCTCATGGTCAGTGTGCACACTCATCAAGATTCAGCATGATGGCAATAGAAGTTCTTTGACTTCAAGGAACTTTGAAGCCAGAGGAGGAGAAAAGAGACAAGTGCACATTAGCAAATTCTTAATTTTACAGAAACAGGACTTCTTGCGAGTGTAGCGGTTCCGCTAAAGTGTTTGTTTATAGATTATCACTTCATCCATAAAATGGGGAGATGTGTGGGGAGATAGCATTCAGTGAGTGTAGAGTTTCAGTTTTGCAAGAAGAAAAAATTCTAGAGATCTGTTGCACAACAATGTGAGTATATTAATAGTACTTTAGAGCTAAAAATGGAAAAGGAAATGGCAACCCACCCCAGTATTCTTGCCTGAAAAATCCCATGGACAGAGAAGCCTGATGGGCTACAGTCCATGGGGTCCCAAAGAATTCGGACATGACTGACCGACCAAGCACACACATCCTTAACCATTTTTAACTGTGTGTTAAAAATGGTTAAGATGGTAAACTTAGCTATTTAGTTTTTTGCCACAATTAATTTTTTTAAATGGAAGGGATTGCATTGTTCAGATCTTAATCCCCAGGTAATATGACCTCTGAGAACTAGGACTGGGTGTTACCCATTGCCTTCCAGTACAAACACGTTACCTGACATAGAGAGGGACTTGGTAAGTGCTTGATTTAAAAATGAACCACAAAAGTAGTATTTCTTTGACCAGAAGGGTTTTAAGAATGGACTTTTTGCCATGTGGATGTGCTGCTTATAGATCAACAGCTACATGACCAAGAGTTAGGCACAGGAAAGGCTGGAAGGTTAAGGTAAAATGTTAGAAGCCCTACAAATTACCTGCATGTTCATGCATTAAGATCTAAATACTTATGAACTTGAGCTAATTCTGCCCACTATAAGTGGCAGTTGTGGGCAACCTCTTGGTGCCTAGTGCTTGGAGGAAGGGGAGGCGCATTCCCAGATTTCAGGAAAGAACAATTGTGTGAAAACAGTAGCTTTGGGGGCCTCCCAGGTGGCTCGGGGTAAAGAATCTGCCTGCCAATTCAGGAGACGCAAGAGACACAGGTTTGATCCTTGTGTTGGGAAGATTCCCCTGGAGAAGGAAATGACAACCCACTCCAGTATTCTTACCTGGAAAATCCCATGGACAGAGGAGCCTGGCAGACTACAGTCCATGGGGTCGAAAGGAGTCAGACACGACTGAGCAGGCACTCATAGTAGTAGCTTTTACTGTACCTACTGTCCTTCCTCTGAAACGGCTTTTTGGATCATCTGGAACCCCGTGTCTTGGGTTGTTGCTTTTTTTTTTTTAATAAATATTATTATCTGGCAGCACCGGGTGTTAGTTGCATGCAAGACTTTTTTTTTTTAAGTTGCAGCATGCAGGATCTAGTTCCGTGACCAGGGATCGAACCCTGGCCCCCTGCATTAGGAGCAAAAGAGTCTTACCCACTGGACCACCAGGGAAGAGTCTCCAGTATCCTGGTTTTTATGCTCTCTCTCACTGGGCCTAAGAGCTATTTTTCTGTGTTCTCATTTTCTATGAAAATCACTTGGGGATTCTCCTATCCCCTCTAGAGTCACTTTTTACCTTCCCTTAGTCACCTTTCGGCTACTGATATCCCCATACTCACTCACGTGTGCCAGTCTTGGGATACAGTCCTGGCTGAGATGGAGCTTATGATTTCAGGAGGCAGGAGTCCTCAGCGGTGGGGGTGTATTAGAATCACCAGGGAAGATTTAAGAAGCACCAGTGTGCTGGTCCAACCCGGCGGGAGTCTGATTCAGTCTGAATTTGTTAGGGCCCAGGGAACTATTTTTTTAAAACTCTCTAGGGAATTCCCTGGTGGTCCAGTAGTTAGGACTCTGTGCTCTCACTGCCAAGGGCCCAGGCTGGATCCCTGGTCAGGGAACTAAAATCTCACAAGCTACAGTTTCAAAGGTCAAAATAAATTAAATAACGCTTTCTGGATGTTTCCAGTGTACATCCAGGCTTGAAACCGAGTGCAGTGGGCAAAGACAAACAATGAACAAGTAAAACGTGTAATAAATGCTCTCTTTATGAAGGAAGCAAGGTTCACAGCACAGATTCACCTTTTCCGCTTACACTCCCAGTTCTTTCAGTCCCTTGTTCCTGTGTGTCTCTCCTGCCACAGGGCTTTTACACAAGCTCTTCCTTCCATGGGAAGCATCCTTCTCTTCTCTGTTCACTACTTAATTCCCATTCATATGTCAGATCCTAGCCTCGTCATTTCTCTGCTGAGAAGCCTTCTCCGATTAGGTCACAGTCTCCTGTGACAGTCGTGGTGTTGGCAGGTGTCACACATGCACCTACACATTCTTTTGTGATTATGTACCGTACATCTCCCACTGTGCTTACTGAGAGCTTCGTGAGGAATTATTATCCGCCCTATCCGCAATCCCCAACACGACGCAGAGTCAGGGCTCAGCAAATTGTCGTGGAGTGAATAATTGGTCTGGGAAGGGTTTGCTCTTAAGGGCTGCACGGAAGAGTTTAGAGGCTCGGCCAAGCAGGAGGCAAGAGCTGGTGGGGGGGAAAGGTAGGCGAGCAGGAGTGAGCCCGAGCGCTGCGGGACCTGCAATCGGGGAGGTGCGGGGCTTCGCTCCGAAGAGTGGTGAGCTGCGCAGGTCCGGCCAGGCGGGGACCCTCACTCTCCCCTCCCTCTCCCCTGCCCAGAGTTGGCGTCCCGAGAGCTGGAGAGCAAGTGCCGCGCGTTGGAGTCGCAGCTGGCCGAGCGAGCAGCGGCCAACGCAGAGCTGCGGCGGGAGGTGGCGCAGCGCGAGGCGCTGGTGTCGGCGCTGCGCTGCAGCCTGCGCGCTGAGGAGCGCCGCTTCCTGGAGGAGCTGCGTCGCCGCAGCCACCGAGCCACCGTGCTGAGCACGGAGCTGCAGAAGCACACCGAGGCGGCCGCCTACCTCTCCTGCCAGCTGCATGCGGCGCGCCAGAAACTGCAGACTCCGCGCCCGGGGCCCGGCGCAGCCGCCGCCACCGCCGAGCCCCGAATCCGCCGGCGCGCACAGCGGGCCCGCCGCCCGCCCGCAGCCGAGGCCGCCACCAAGGGCCCCGGCCGGGACTGGGCCGCCTGGGAGCGTGCGGCCGGCGTCCCGGACGACCTCGATGCCATGCCCGACCCCGCGCTCTTCCTCTACGCCCGGAGGCCCCAGCGGCCCAGCGGCCGCAGCCCACGCCAGCCGCCTCCCCAGGAACCCCCGGACCAAGCCGGCTCTCCGGCCGCGCCCCGCCCACCCAGTGCGCCCGCGGACCCGGAGTAGGCGCGGGGCGGGCGAGCGGGCGGGGAGCCGGGAAAGGCTGGCCCGGGTTTCGACTCAGCTCGGGCCAGGGTGGATAGGGTGGGGGCGGGTCCCTGGGGCCGAGGGAACCAGTCCCTCCCCCAGGGAGCGGGCGGAGGCGGCCCCTGCTCCCCCGCGCGTTCCAGCCGTCCCGGCCTTTTGTATTTCCCGAGGCTTTGAGCTGTCGCCGCAGCTTTGAGCTCTCCTCTCCCGCCGGGGAGCTCCTCCGCCGGGCCCAGCGAAGGCACTTTTTTTTCCTTAGAGAGGACTCACAGTACCGATCCTTATCTGGTCCCCACCCTGCCACTGGGAGGGGACGGGGCGGGAGTCACGCCCTGACCCAGGAAAGTGACAATCGTTTGGCCGTAGCGGGGAGGCCGGGCTGGCCTACGGAAAGGAACTAGAGTGGCCCTTAGCATCCTTAGGCCTTCCAGCTCCCCGCTGCGGCCTCCGCCAGACCTGCACGGCCGCCCTTCCTTCCCAGCCTGCCTCCGAGGGGCGGTTCGGGCTGGGGGCTAGAGGCTGGACCTTCTCCCCCACATCCCCCCCCCCCCAACCTGCTAATAGATCCTTACAGGTGAGCACGGAACACTTTAGAAGACGCCTCCCCCACAGCCTCTGGTGGGGGGAGTATGGACTTATGGAAGTTTGAACTTCTAGGAATTAGCACCCATAGACCCTTAGAGAAGATTACAGAATGGGTTTGGTGGCAGATAACTGTCTCCAATTCTCAGTTCTTCCAATTCTCAGTGTAGACTCCAAGGATACGCCAGAGTCGGGCTGATGGAAGGGTTAGAAACTGTTTTCAGGAGGTAGCTGGGAACCTGAAGGCTGCCCTGGGAGTTTCCCTAGTCCTGTTTATTGGTGCTAATTTTGCCCAGCTTCCTAATTAGCTGGTTGCACCCAGAGGCAGGAAGAGGGGCCCTGCTTCTTGGAAGTGGCAGCTGTTGATAGAAGTTTGAGTGTGCTGGGGGCGGTGGGCGAGGAGATGGTGGGAACGCAGGTTAGGCCCTAGCCTCGCCCTCGCCAGGACTGCCCCCATCCTATCAGACCTGACAGCGGCTGGTGTTCAGTGCCCTTTGTCTAGGTTGGGGAGTGGCAGACGGGAAGACTACTGCCCCACCTCCTAACGCGTTTCTCCCCAGCTCCCCCTCACGACCAAAGGCGGGAAGTCCAGCTCCAGCCCGGTTCATGGCGCCCACCTGAGTCCAGCCTGGAAAGACAAATTCCTAGAACCCTGTCGTCTCGTGCCATCCCTCTTTTATTGGTCGTGCATCAAGTCCGAAGTGCCTGCGAGGTCTTCCAGGGGCCGCCAAGGGAGGACATGGGGCAGGAAGAGGCTTTGACCTCACTCACGATGCCCCATCCCAGCAGGTCCTGACCCTCTGCCTGGGGCTGAGACTTCTGCTTGACGCCCAGAGGTCTGGGAGGTCTCCAGGGGGCGATGAACCCTTTTCCCATCACGGCCCCATGAAGAAAAGGGGGGCAGATCCCCAATTACACCCCCTTCCACTGTATACGTTAGAGGGAGCAGGACACGGGTGAGCACATAAACGTGCAGCCCCTCCCCGCTCAGGACTGCTGAGACCACTGAGCAATAAGCAGGCCCGGTCTGTGTCCGCCACTGGGGCGCCCTGGGGACAGACAGTGCTGTCCAGTCTAAAGGGCCGCGGGAGTGGCCTAGGGTCCTTGCTCTGCCTGCTCCCACCTCTCCGCTCCCCAGTCTCTGTGGTTGTACCTCTGCCCTCTGTCTCCCCTCAGGTGTGAGTGACTCACGACCCCTTGACCCTTGACCTGCTGCCTTCCTTTTCAGAACATGTCCCAGGAGGCCTCTCTCTCTGCTCGGGGCTGTGCTTACTTGAAGGGGCCTATGACCCTGGGGAGGAGGAGGGAAAGGGGGTCTTTCTGGAGGCACCCACCCAAACTCTCATCTTCCACAACCATACTTTCGGGGTGAACTGGGTGACTTTGTGAGGTCAGTTCTTCTACAGAGACGGTGAAGTACTCTATGCACCCACCCACCCACTAAAAGCCATAGCTCCACCCAGCTGGCCTCCCCCAGCTCTATAGCAATAGCCCTCTTCCTCCTTCCTTCCTCTGTACCCGAGGAGCCCGGCTGGGGGCCGCCACAACACCCCTGCCCCACCATCCTCCCTGGTGGCCTGCCTGCCCCTCCCCAAGTGAGGCATCAGCACCTCCTGTGTTGTCCCCCTTCCAGCAATCAGAGATGACTCTTGTTCCTGAGCTACTTGGAGATCCCGGCTCCCCGCCCCCCATGAAAGGTCCGGAGTGCTGGGGCGGCTGACTCACTGACTCTCAGCTGAGGTGTGGGGGTGCCTGGGAAAGGAAACGCAACCATCCCTCCCCCCTCCTCTCAGCAGGCTGGGGGAAGGTCCAAAGCATATACAGGGTTCCAATTTTAACAGAAATGCCCGCTCCCCATCCCTCTCCTGGAAATAATAGATGAGAAGCTTTCCTCCTCCAGAACCCTCAGGGCGCTAAATAAAATGAATAAGACTGGGAGTCGGTGGTCTGCCCTTGGCCTCAGTGGCAGGGAACTCCCCAGCCTTGCCCTCAGCTTCTGGCCCTCCCCCTCTCCTAGCCTGGGGGACCCACCGTACCAAAGGAGAGACCCCCCCTCCTCGAGCCCCTGAAAAGTTTGGGTGACTAGAAAGGACATTGCCTTCCCTCTCCCTGTCCCCCCACCTCTCCACTCTCCCCTCTTGGCTGCACGGAGCCCACTGGGGGAGGGGGGTGTTGACCCGGACACTCAGGGGCCCTAGTTGCAGCCAGGAGCTGCAGGTGGGGACCCCTCCCCATTCTGGAAGCCAGCCAGGGACCTGTGGGCAATGCAGCCTGAGGCTTTGTGCCCCTGCTCCCGCTCACAGTGGCCTGCAATCTGGGGGACCAGTCCAGGGCTGAAATGGGGTAGCCCTTCCCCAAAACAAGCAGCAGACTAGAGGTCCCCCTGATGGAGCAGAAGGAGGCCAAGAGGGTGTGGAGCAGCACCTCCTCTTTGTGGGGAGCCAGCATTCTCTAAGCAGTCTCACTGAGTGGCCAGCCTTGAGCAGGGGACCTGCAAGGCTTCAGAAACACCAGGCAGGAGCCCCACAGGCACGGCAGACGGACCCGGCTCCAAGTTCTCTCTGTTGGCTGCGCTTTTTAATCCAATGCTTTTCAGAGTGTATTCACTCACCTACAGAAATAGAGCCCTGTGCTTTAGGGGTGACTGTCATATGCCTTATTCTTAATAAAATACCTGAAAAACACAGAAGTCAAATTTTTTTCTATGAGCACTCCACCCCACCCCCCACCACCTGATGGGGCTGGTCTGTGGAATGGACGTGAAGGAGACAGGATGGTTTGGGAGTTAGCCCGTTGAGGGGGAGGAGGTGGTGAGACTGGGAGCTGAGACTCCCGAGTCCCTTCTATGGATAACCCTCACATAAGGCACAAGGCTCTCATCTGAGATGTCCTGAGGCTCAAGCTAGCCCTGTCTCCATACCACCCCAACCCAAGGGAACAAGCAAGACCTTAGATCAGAGGCTCCTGGCTAGGGTTGGCAGGGATGGGTTGGAAGAGTTTTATGCCTGGAATTGCCCATTGTTCTGGCCCAGAAGCAACCCTGGGCTTCTGGACATCTTTGGCAATGTTGGTTCTCCTTCCCTGGCACCCATCTCCATCTGATGCAGCTACAAGAAGCCCAGAGTTCCAGAGAAGAGCCCTAATCTTATCCTCCGCTCCTGAGAGCTGTCCTGGGACTGCCGTTTGGGAGCTCAGCACACTCAGCACCTTCAGGCTCACACATCTTCAGTGTAGGCCTGTGTTGTTGATGGCTCCTGGAGAAAAAGCACAGCTCTGCAGTCTAAGGATGCAGAGGACATACAGACGTCTGTAGCAACTTAGCATGAAAGCATGTTAATGCATGTGTTGGGGGCGGGGACTATCCCCACCCATGTGACCCAGGTCACACTAATTGGGTTAGAGGTGGGCATGCAACTCTAAGCCGATGAGAACCCATAGTGTAACCTTTCATTTAACACACAAGTCAGGTGTAGGGATACAGCAGGGAAACAAACAGGACTACTGCAGGACAAATTCTTAGGTGGCTAAAATGGCAGAACATCATCCTGGAAGACTGGCCATTTGCCCCAGGGATGGAGCTACCCGAGTATGAGGCACCACAAAGAAGTAAAACCAAGAGAGATGGAGACAGGGACTTCTCCTGCAGTCCAGTGTTTAAGACTCTGCACTTACAATGCAGGGGGATGTGAGTCTGATCCCTGGTAAAAGGAATTAAGATCTGCATGCCATTACACATGCCATGCAGCCAAAAATTAAAAAGAGAGAGAGAATTCCATTTTTTTTTGTCACGAGTGTTTAATTCTACCTTTTAAAAAATTTTATTGAAATACACTTGATTTACAATGTTGTATTAATTTCTGCTATACAGCAAAGTGATTGAAATATATATATATGTGTGTGTATATAGCTTTGCCTATTCTTTTCCATTTTGGTTTATCACATGATATGGAATGTAGTTCCCTCTGCTATACAATAGGAACCTTGTTGTTGGACAATTCCTGATAATTAAGTTGCCTGGCCCCAGCTGTGCCTGCAATCCATATACTAGTGCCCTTTTCAACTATATAAACCAATAAGCTCCTCTTCCACTTTTGTTTTTAAATGATCAGCATTAATTTGTGGGGTTTTTATACTTTTTAACTTAATTTTAGACATAGAGAAAAGTTGCAATAATGATACAGATTTCCTGTATGTCTCTCACCAAGCTTCTCCTAATGTTAACATCTTATTTTATCATAGTGCAATTTTCCAAACCAAGAAATTAACATTAGTACATGGCATTACGTGAACCATGAAATTCCAGATGTTCGATCTGCTTTTGGAAAAGGCAGGGGAACAGAGATCAAATTGCCAACATCCGCTGGATATCAAAAAAGCAAGAGAATTCCAGAAAAACA